TTAGCAATGATAGTATTATAGAAGACCCATGACTGTGATAAAACTGACCAGGATTCTGATAATAGCAGGATTGTGGTGATATTTAGTGCTGTGCTCCATGGAGGTAGGAGTAAGGCTGTGGGAGGGAGGGTGGTGGCGTCGTCTTCTGACTGTGTGTGGCTACCTTTTATTGACTGCACTCACCATACCAGCTTAGTGGTTCGCTATGGTGAACACAAATGTAGATACTTATATATAACGTGTGTATAGAGTGTGATAACAGCAATAGGAGTAGGTTGGGAGCCGCCATTTTAGGTGCTTTGTCTGCACGATGTATCATGTTGTTTACTGGTGACCACTATGGCCTTTGGGCACCATACCAGCTTATTTGTACTGGTATGGTGAATAAAACAGGTAGATACTTATATATGTGTGTATATAGCATAATAACACCACAAACAATATTGTTGGAGGAGAAATATTAGTGCGTCTGGCATTGAGAGTGGCCGCCACCAGCTGACTGTGTGAGCAGCTACGTCTTCGTGTCTTTATTCATCATACAAGCTTAGATGTACAGTTATGGTGAACAAAACATGTAAATACTTATATATAACATCTGTCCCAATGTCCTCCGGTCATTTCTAGGGCTCGTTGGTCCTCTTCCGTGCTGCTTCTTGGTTTTCAGTACTATCTCGTTCTTTTGTGATTATATCTTCTCTCCATGCTCTGTCTCAGCACTGCTCATTTTTCTTACATACTCCTAGTTGGCGCCTTCCTCGCCGAGCGGGTTGTGTGGGCCGGACCTTATGTGTCCTACGCATTTGCCATGTGAGTTTTTGTTTTAGACGGTGTTCACAAGTGCTGGTGTTCCGCGTCCTTTTTCTCTCGGGTGCTTCACCTCTTGCGCCTCTCGTCTCTCCAGTCCGTGCCCCGTAGATACTGGGGGTGTTCTGGGTTCCCGAAATGGGGAGGACGCCTGGTTTTCTCTGCATACGGGTGTGGGGCGCTGCATTCGCCTCTACCCTACTCTTCTCCTGTGTGTGCAGCTCTGGCCTCCTTCCACTGACGGTGCTCCCAGAATCTTCTCGGCTACGGTGTGTCGTGACACGTTCGTGCCTACACTCTGGAGGTGAGCTTATGCGGTCAGGTGTTTCTTTCGGCCGGGTGCTGGTTCGTGGTTTTTGGATAAGAACATCAGAACAAGGGTAACTGCAGAGGGCCTATTGGCCCATACGAGGCAGCTTCTATTATAACCGCCCAATCCCACTCTTATTCAAATCCTACCCATGCTTAAATCAATCACAGGACCCCACCTCCCCCATGTTACAAGGTCAAATTGAGAAGGTAGATAAGCTGTATCAGGATGTTACGAGGTAACATTTTGATGCAGCTTTGGTACAGAGGATGCGTGTTGGGGATTGGTTGTGGAGTTTTGTTTGGCCCTTGCATGCTTCTTCCTGGGGCCTTCCTTGTTTGTCTGTGTTCTTTGTTACACGGTGGGGCACGGCCCCGTTTTTTCGTGGGTTTATCTTGGTCACTCATTCCTTGCCCGTCTTGCAGTGCCTGGCTTAGCCCTTCCATATGTATTGGATTCTCTGTACTTACCTAGTTGTGCTTGCTAGGGGTTGAGCTTTGGCTCTTTGGTCCTACCTCTTGCCTGTTTTCACCTGACATTTACATGGCCTCCGTGTGTTGTTGGTAATGTCCCTTTAGTTCCCGTTTGCTGCGTGTCTTCCTCGTTCCTCATCTTCCTTCTATAATCTTGTCCCTAGCCGCTGGTGCTGGGGCTGTTTTTCTGGTCTTTTTTCTTGCATTTTTTCCCGTTTTTTCTCATTCTCTACACATTGTTGTGTGTTTTGTATGTGCATCTTGGCTCTCCTATTGCTAGGTTGGACTTTGTCCATGTTCAGTTCAATGCTTTTATACCGCCCCTGTGTTTGGTTCTTGACCAGATTGCCAGGTTTGGGTTCCTAGTTTCCTGGCTTACCCTACCAGTTGGCATTTTCGAGTTCTCGCCGTGTCCCTTCTCTCAAGTCTCGCATCGGAACCACAGTGTCTCCGATCTCCTGGCAAGCTCGCTGGCATTGGGAAGTTATCTGTATGGCAGACGTTCCATCTCATTCCTTGCCGGCTTGGATTTCCAGCTCTGCTTGCTCGGTGATCGCACCCAAGGTTTTCCCGCGGCTCCGCCTCTTCCTGTGCTCGATCAGTCCATGGCGTGGCTGGTTCAGTTCTGCCTCGAGTGTCTCACCATCTGTTAGTGGTCAGGTGGCTTCGTTGAAGGTGTCCCACCTGCGAGCTTCATCTTGGCGGCAGTGTGGTTTTTTTGGCGGTCCTTCCTTTTTCTATCTGTCCTTTTGTAGGTTTGCTGCATTTTGTTGGCGTGGTTTTGTTCTCTTGTGGAGGTTCAGGGCTGTCATCTTGCCACATACTGTCGCCTTGTCTCATGCGGCACTGGCGGAGCCGTTCTGGGTTGCTTCGGTTTTGGAGTTGCCTCTGCACCGCTTCACGAGCCGTCTCTGGCGTGATTCACCTCCTGCCTGCTCTTGCGCCGCTTGAGCCGTCCTGGTTCTTGGATTACGTGCTCTCTTCTCTTCTCCTCGGTGTGTTGTGGTCCCTTCGATTCTGGTTTGTTTTCCGAGGCTTTTTTCTTATGGGCGCTGGTCTCTGGGGGTCGGGTCAGGATGTTTCATGCTCTCCTCTGGCGCCTGGGTTTCAGCTCTTTTGGTTCTCCTGATAGGTTTGTTCGCTTGCAGCCGTTTCCTTCTTTTCTGGCATGGACTGGCCTGGCTGAGGGGTCCTTGGGTTGTTGATGCTTGGTTGATCTGGCTGGGGGGTGCATAGTGTGTTGTATACGGTTGCGGCACTTTGCCGTGCTTGGCGTGCCACAGCTGCTGTGACCAGGGTCACGCTTTGGGTTGTTCCAGGTTCCTTTCCTCTTTGTTTCAGGGAGTGGTTTTCTTGGGTCGTCTGCAGGGTGGTTCGGTTTTGCCAGCCTGCAGTCTGTCCCCATGCCCAAGTCGTTCATAGGTTGGCTCTCGTTCCTTCGTTGATGTTCCTGGGCCTTGTTGGGCCTGTGTGGCCTTGGGTTGGCAGTTGCAGTTTTGTCTCCGCTTCGTGTTGGGGTGTGTGTCTTCCGCTTCCTGGGTTAGATACCTCTTGTTTCGTCTTTAGGTAAGTAGCTCCGGGGAGCCGACGGGGCTCCCCTTAGAAAACCAGCATTGAATGTAATGAACGCCATTTTCTGGGTGAATACTGGAGGCTCCCCAGCAACCCTCCCTCCCTCCCTCCCTCCCAGTCGGCGGTTTTCGCGTGTTTTTGATATCCAGCCTCAGAACTGGTGTGTGGTTGGCCGGCTCGGGGGGTCTGGGGCTCCCCCTTCCCCCTCCCAGGGAGGGGGGGAGCTGTGCAGATGGCGGTGCAGCGACGTCTGATGTCATACTCGTTTACTCATTTCTGTTTGAGGAGTTCTATTCACTTGTTCGTTTTTTTGTAGCAATTTTCACCAGAATAGGGGTGTGTTTTGGGATGCCTACCTTTCTGGGTGCCTAACCCATTTGATGGCAAACATAAAATGCTTTCAACCCCAGAGGGGTTTCTATCGGCCATTGGTCCTCGTGCCTCTGTGTGGGGGCCAGGTTCTGGCTCGTGGTCCCCGGTAGGCCCACAAAACTCCATACACATGACTGATGCCGAAGTCTGCCGGGCTGGGGGTGTGTCGTGTTGTGCGTCCAGTGGGGGGCCCTCCGCTGTTAATTGCGTGCCGCAGCCTCTGTGTCCGGGGCGCGCTTTGAGTTAATCCGGTTCCGTTCTTCCCTGTTCGCGGGTGACAGTGTCCCGGGTTGTCAGCCGTGTTATTGCGGCTAGCCTGCCTGTGTTCTTTCCCCATGCCCGTGGCGTTCATGGCTTCGCTACTCCTGCTGCCGCCTGGGCGGCGTGTTCTTGCTGTCATTCGGGCACAGATCTGTTGGTGTTCGTACTGGGGCCCTTGCTGCTCGTTGTCTCGTGTTGTTCCCGGGGCCCTTTTGGGGGTGTGTCACCTTAGGTTGGCGTTTGCTGCTGGTTGTCTCGCTTCTGTTGAGGGGTGCATGGTGTCTGCTTCCCGGTTCCATCCCTTTGACCTTCCTCTGTGGGTAGTTAGCTCCGGGGAGCCGATGGGGCTCCCCGCAGAAAACCAGCGTTGAATGTAATGAAACGCCATTTTCTGGGCGAGACCCGGAGGCTCCCCGGCAACCCTCCCTCCCTCCGGTCGGCGGTTTTTCACGTGTTTTGACATCGTCTCAGAACTGATGGGTGGATAGCCGGCGTGAGAGGTCTGGGGTTCCGCCGCTCCCCCCCACCCCGGGAGGGGGAAGGGGGAGCGGCGCACACAGCAGTGCGGTGACGTGTGACGTCATACTAGTTTGCTTGTTTTCTGTTGGGGAGTTCTATCCACTAGTTCAGCTTTTGGTAGCAATTTTAACCAGAATAGGGGTTTGTTTTGGAATGCTTACCTTTCTGGATGCTTGACCTGGTCGATGGCAGACAGAATGCTTCCAACCACACGGGGGTTTCTATAGGCCATTGCTCCCCTTGCCTCTCTGAGGGGGCCAGGTTCTGGCCGTGGTCCTCGGTAGGCCCTAGAACTCCATACACATGACTGATGCCAAAGTCTGACATTAGCATATCAGCCTTTTAAAGCTCTGGGGAGCCTCCGGGTCTCACCCAGAAAATGGTGTTTCATTACATTCAACGCTGGTTTTTTGTGCTTCCTGGGTGCTAATTATCAGTACAAAAAAAAAACGGTTTTTGGAACAATTTATTTTTGGTGCACCACGGGAATGTCATTTTAAGAGTTACATAGTGCAGGGTTTAAACCGATTTTTTTTTATTTTGTCGTGATACTGTATTTTAATTCCAAATTTAAGATAAAATAAATTATTTGTTATATAAGTAGCTTTTATTTCTTTGTGTTTGACTGCTGCTTGTGACATGCCAACAATATTTATGCTCTGAATTAATTGAATGCATTTTTTTTTTAGTTCATTTCTAGGGAATGAAGAGCAGTGTAGCAGTGCACTATTTAGCTCGGAGGTGAAAGTTGAGGTTGGAATGACAAAACACACTTCTGGGTCATCAGCAATCACAACTAGAAACATTACTAATTATCCTTGGGATCATCACTACCTCTCGGGCAGCTTGGTTGCTCAACACTGCACCGGAGATTATATTGCTTATGCTATTAAAGGTTAGTTTGATTTTTTAGCATTTAATAAATTACATTAAAAACATCTTTGAGGTTTTTTAGTCATTTTTCTAGGAGAGTTCCTTTATTATCTCCCAGTGCTACCCATCTAAATTCCTTGAAACCTTGGGTTAAGCCAGGCACTTAACAAATCACATGTGCCTATGGGAGACCTGGTCTACTTAGTAGAAGCATTGGAGAGTCTTGGGATACAAGATCACCACAATACCAAAGAAAACCCCACTGGAAGGGTAGATCATACCCAAATAAGCAACTGCTTGGACAACATTTGCAACCTTGATTTGAACTACGTACACACCAAATGTCCAGTTCCAACATAGTTAGTGCCCTGGCAACCAGAGGGTCCCAGCCACTCATCCAGGTTATTCATTCAACTGGTATGTTTCCTTTGGATTATTCATTGCTCTATGGGTACTGACAGCGGCCGGTGGCTGAGCGGACAGCATGCTGGACGCGTGATCCTGTGGTCCCGTGTTCAATTCCGGGCGCTGGCGAGAAACAATGGGCAGAGTTTCTTTCACCCTGATGCCCCTGTTACTTAGCAGTAAATAGGTACCTGGGAGTTAGTCAGCTGTCACGGGCTGCTTCCTGGGGTGTGTGTGGTGTGTAGCAATTAATTGACAGTTGAGAGGCAGGCCGAAAGAGCAGAGCTTAATCCCCGCAAACACAACTAGGTGAATACTGCCAACTCATCTTAGTGTTAGCCATCCTTTGGACTCCAGTGTGGGAATGCCTATACTTGTGTTTTGTTTCCTTAAGGCTTCACGTGCATGCTTCTGTGGGGCGGGGGTAGCCCCTTGTGGCTCCCTGAAGCTGTGTCCCATCTACTAGGTCACATCAACAACTGTGGCATTCTGTAGGCATTCAAGGACCAGCATCAGAACCAGGCCCCTCTCACAGAGGTGAAGTGAGCTGTGACAATTGTGTTCACCATCTCACTGGAAAAGGCAACCAGAAAGTCAGCAAATCGAAATAAACTACTGCTGGATTCAAGAAAGACCAAAGCCTCAAAACTTGCAAAAAGAACTTCCCTAATTATTTGATCAAATTCTCTTGGAACTAGTGCAAACTCATTTGCCCCACCTCCCCTCCTCGATTTGGGGAGGGGTAAGGTAGCTCACTACCTGCTGGGGTGTCTATGAAGGTACCAGCTCTCTGCTGCTATCTTCATGCCACCGGTTCTGCTTTGGTGGATACCTTGTGGATCGATCCTGTTTCTGTGGTCTGTTCCAAGGCTCATTTTTGCCAGGTCATCCAGTGTTGTTAAGTCTAGGCAGCCTGCAGTCTACCCTCATACTCATGATGTTAGGAAGTTTGCCACTCTTTTTGCCTCTGTTTATGAACATGTCCTGGGCTGAAGTTTGGGCGTGGGATTTGTGAGGTCAAACAGGATTCTGGCAGCCTGGTATTTGGTGAATGTTTCTGGGCTTTGACACTGTCTCAAGTGTGGGGGGGGGTCTTTGTAATTTTTATTTATTTATATATACAAGTTATTACAATCTTGTAAAACCACTAGCGCACACAGCGTTTTGGGCAGGTCCTTAATCCTAATTTTTCCCAGAATATGACCCGCCAAGTCGTTTAACAACCCTTTCACTGCTGGATGAACAGAGGCTACAGTAAAGGATTGGTGCCCAGTCAATTCTCCCTGGCTAGGATATGAACCTAGGCCAAAGCGCTCGTGTAATGCTGGGTGAGTGCTTTACCACTACACCATGGGGACTGCACAGGGTCATGATTCCTGCTGTGCTGCCTCCTCACTGATGAATCCCCATGTGTTTTTCCTTTTTCATGGGTAGTTTAATTTAGGGGGCAACATGGGGATCCTTCCCTGAAAACTCACATTGAATGTAATGAAACACCAAATTCTGGGTGAGCTCCAGTGGCTTCCCTGATCCCTTTCCCTTCCAGGTCAATGGGCGGATGTCTACATGTGCTCTAGAACTGGGAGCTCAGACCCTGGTAAGTGGTGGGCTATCTCCCCTCTCCCCAAAGAGTGGGGGTAGGTGGAGTGAACGAGTTCACACTACAGTAGTTCCAAGAGAATTAGATTGTTTTCATAGGAGAATTCTTTAGGCAAGTTTCAAGACTTTATTAGGAATGCAGTAGTAGTTTGCCTTGTCTCTGATTTTCTGGTTACCTTCACCTGTGAGGTGGTGAATATAAATGTTACCACTTCCTCCGCCTCTGTGAGGTGGCCAGGTTCCGGCACAGGTCCCTGATAGGCCCATAAAATTCTCTGGCTGCAGCAACTTTGTAGTTGGTACCATGTCTGCATATACCTTCAGGGAGCCACTGGGGCTTGGCTAGAAATTTGCATTTCATTACATTCATCACTGTTTTTTTCATGCCAACCTGTTGCAAGTGCCTTGATCAGTTGTTTGTCTTGACTGCTTTTGTCCTGAGTTGCTTTTCTCTGGCTGCTGTTGGCATTGCCCCTACCCATGGTTAGAGTTCTCTTTCCTTTGAGGATTCAGGTATTTGCTCCTTGAGGTCTCCTAAGGGGCCTCACCCCCATGTGATGCATGTGTTTCTGCTCTTCTGCAGTGCCTGGTGGTTGGGGTAAGCTATAGATTCCTTCTTTTTCACAGGTTACACTGGGAAAGTGTTTTGGCTTCAATATTCGGGCATTGGCTTATGCCTATGCTTGTCTCATTTTCCAAGTCAGGGGTTACGTGAATTTCATATTCCATTCCCAGTACCTACCTCCCTGCTGGTCTGTTATGGATTGGTGCTGGTAGTGTCTCAACAAGTCTCATTATGTGGGAAGGCTGTGGAATTTTCCTCTGAGAACTGACACTTTCTTCTGACTTGACAAGGACTTGACACTTTCTTCCGACTGCACAGGGCCATTGATTTAATTCAGATGCAGTCTTTATCATTGTTGATGTCTCCTCCTCTTTCTATCTGGTAGGGATGTGGGATCTGTCCCGGGGTATCTTTCAGCTCTTTGGTTTTAGGCACCTAGGTTCTTCTGCTCTACATGGAGATTTTTTTAGCTTCTTTGTCACATTCTAGGTTTTGTTTTCCTTTGTGGCATGCCTGTTGGGGGGCCCAGCAAACAAGTGTAATGAAATGCCTTTAATGTGGGAAGCCCCGTTGGCTCCCTGAAACCGTCATCACCAAGTGCCATGCTACCTAGTATCATCAGTTGTGGAGTTCTTTTTGCCTACCAGGGACCACAAGCTGAAACCTGGTCCCTCCTCAGAGAGGTGCAGGGAGCAATGGCCTATGAACACTTTACATTTAAGGGGCATCTGGTTATTATAATGAAAGTTGTTCAATGTCAACCAATATTATTTTTCTAGTTGTATATGAAAAGTGCTTAAATTGTCCCAAGTTTCAGTACTGCAGCGTAAATAGAAAGGGAGTTTTTTTTTTTTTTTTTTTTTTTTTTTGAACGTTTTTTACACATTTTCAAGTCCACACTTCAGAACACACGTTTCAGATAAAATTATTCTGTGACACTTTTCTGACACATTAGCATATAATAAAGGATTTGGGGATTTAGAATTTCCAAAACATCTTTAGTTTTCCTAATACAAATGTTCAAAGTTCCCCAAAATTTTGTTGCAAATATGGCATGTTTATTGCTATTATAAAATCAATAAATGAACTTAGAGAAAAATGAAAGCCCCCCAATGTAGAGACATGCCCCACAATGTAGAGACATGCCCTCCACATATACTGTGTAAGTTTCATGTAAATTGAATAAAAAAAGAATGAGTTTTGTAAACGTTTGTGTCAATTGAAAAAAAAACAGAAATGAATAAAGTCTAAGGTTCTAAAATCTGTGGCTGAGGTTGACATCAACCAATTTTCTCCAAAATTGGCATCCTTACAGATAGGCTTACGTACAGTCAGGTGTTTAAGTTTGATGCAAATCGCCCAAAAAAAAAATGAAAAAAAAAATATTTAAAAAAAAAAAAGAAAAAAAATCCTTTTTTTTTTTTCCTTAAAATTTTTTTCCAATTAAACTAATAATAATATTTGTTTAATATATGCTATTGTGATAGCAAAGAGTTGTAGTTATGATTTCAGTTGACACTTTTTATTGATAATCGATTTTGACCATTTTTGCATAATTTTCACAACTACTTCAATATTTTTTTTCTCCCTTCCTATTTATGCTACAATGCTGAAACTTGGACCAGATGAAACACTTTTCATATAGAACTTGTCAAAAAAGTTTGATTGAAATCGAATGAGTTTTCATTTTTGCATTTTTGGACCCAGATGCCAACCAGACGCCCCCTTAAAGGAATCTTTGCCACCATCAGGGAAGGGACCCAGAAAGATAGGTGAATCAAAACAAACAAGTTACTTGTTTAAAAATGTGACCAAAACCCCCAAAATACCAAAAGAACTCCCCCCCCTCCCATTAATAAATGAAACAACCAAAACTTGGTGAACTGATCAACTGCGAGTTAACTCCACCTCGCTCTCATTGGGGGGAGGGGAGAGCCAGCCCGGGGAGTTTGGGCTGATTAACTTCAGTTCTTCACTGACGTGCTCACCTGCCGGTCACATTGCTCTGGCTCTGGTTTTCAGTTTTCTTTGGTGTTTTCTTGCCTTTACAGCAGTGTTTTACACGGAAGTATGCATGAGCCAGGAGTATTAGTGTACTGGAGCTGCATATGCTCAGGGTTTACTTCCTTGTGTACTCTGTAAATACTGCCCTTGCATGGTCAGGATTCTCTTCCCTGGGGCATTAGGGGAAATGCTCCCTTTAGTGATCCTCTTCCCTTGGGGTGGTCCTCTTCCCTTGGGGTGGTCTTCTTCCCTTGGGGTGGTCTTCTTCCCTTGGGGTGGTCCTCGCTCTTATGGTAAGCCAGGGGCCTTTGGCATTCCGTCTAGCCTGAGGTTTGGCAGTGTTGTTGGGTGGGGGGGGGGGGGGGGAGGGCACAGTGCAATTGCTCAGTCTGTACTTTCTACAAGTTGTTTCAGGGCCCGCCAATGTTTCTTCCAAGCTGCACATTTGT